ATATTTCCTCTTATTTTTTGTTCCCACTTGCCAATGTAGTTCTAGATCACGTTTCTTGCATACCAGGCGCTTGTTGAGGGGGCAAATTGATGAAAATCGATGTCTTTTGTCCCGTAATATGGAGACCATACACTTGTGGGATTGTTTCGAATGGTTATGGCTGACACTGCAAGCCGCCACTGGCTGATAGAAGCCATAATTAATGTATAATCCGAAATTTACAATTTTTTTTAGATTTTGAGCTCTCAGGTGGGAGTAGGTTGCAATATTTTACCGGATTTTCTCGTCAGCCTTCAAATGTAACAAAAGTTCTGCGCGGTTCAACAAACCATCCTGAGTCACGGTCTGTCTCGAGATGTGTGTTTTTGAATTGAAGTCATTTATAAAGTCGATGTTTGTCCCAAAACTACCTGTGCGACAGATAAGACGCGCGGATTCGGTTACCGAACAACGGATTGAGCGGCTCGAATCTATTGCACTTTGCATATGCACAGGACTGGCGGTTTGGAGCAAAAATCAAACTTTTGCGCTCCGCGTGTAGAGCGCGAGCTTGAAAGAAGCCGAAATGGCATTGATCTTGTTTCAGCCATGTATACCGAGCGTTCTTATTTAAATAACCCGATATGCCATATTAGTGCAGACATTAAATCCTGTTTAGCACGCGCAGATATTTTAATGTTTGGCCTGTACAGTTGCGTATGCCGCCGCCTCAATTTTCCAGCATCGCTATTGAAACACCGAATCCAATAAAATGCTTTGGCAGCAGGCCTGGATTTATTATATCCAGTGCTCTGGAATTTGAATTCGGATTAGTTCGAACGAGTATTTTTAATTCATTGGGAATTGTTTTTCATCTGACTTAATGTAATTTCTTCCCTAAGTGGAGACAGTTGCAAATCAGAGCGCTCCGGAATTTAATAAGGAAAGGCCTCTTTTAGAAATCTTGCAAGTTTCAACCTGGCCGCATCATTCGGGATTTTTGGAGAAATCTCCCAAATCTTAGAAGGTTTTAAGGGCTTTTTCTTCCTTTCTGAACTGAACAGCTTGCACGTAGCTTTATTTATTTGCATTTGTCAATCGCGAAATTTCTTCTGTGTTCAAAAGCATTCCAATGTCTTCATCTGTTTCCTCAAGTGGCTCAAGAACACCGTGTATTTTCTACTTTGCTTTGATTGTCTATTAAACATATTTACTACTAAGTTGTTTTGTTCAAAACTGGTGGTTTCACCATTAAAAGCACCTTAAATTTTTTTATTAGTCGCTAATTAATGCCCACAGTCGCTTCTAGCTATTCAGTTGTGCAAACAAAGTTGAAATTAGTTTGGTAAATTTACAATTAGGCTTAATTTATTTATTTATTTCCTTAGCTAATACATTTAATTTCAATTTCAGGTTTGGACCCTCAAGCCTGGGCTGTTTGTCTGGTAAGTGTTTTATGCCCACTTTATACACTTTTATTATTAATGGTATTTAATAACTGATTGATTCACGTGTCGATTTCCTCGCCGTTGCGAGTGTCTACTAGTCGCGTGTTTATTCAACCGGCCCTGTTGTTGGCTTATTGCCCTATTAGTGTATTTACATTTAGACGAAAGTAACTGTTTATGGATTGAGCAAATACTCAGGTACCAACAACTGCTTATTTCTAGTCTAGACACCCAAGTGTGCAAATTTCAAATTTTTCGCACTGGTATAAATAGGTAGATCAACGAACATCCAGACATAAACAGTCTAGTCGAAAATAGACTGCTGGTGCTAAAAACAATTGTCCATGATTTTCCTAATAAAAAAAAATCCTCTATTGTTCAAAACGGAGATAATATGCAAATGGAACATCGAATTGAATAATTACTACACTGATTGTGTTTGTTGTACGCTGGTTTGGTCGTGAGAAAAAGAAGAATCAATACAAATACTGAAACGGTTTTGTTTGATGAACAGTGAAAACCTGTCTGGTCTCCAGACGCAAAGATAATGGTGTTTGCTCTTCCACATATCGAGAATGAGAAGCCTCCAAACTCGACAAATTACGATATTTTAATGCATAAAAAACGTGCAATTGTAGCAGGAAAAAGTGAAAAAACGAGCTCTTTAGCCAGTTGCTTAACAATCGCCCTCCTGCCGTATCGGCTCTTAAACGAATCCGTGGGTATTTCTCGAATTTCTCACGATATCAATTCGTACCTGAATCGTCGATACGGCTTCTTTCCTGTTGCACGAAACCGAGCTCTTCGTGGTACGACTTTTGCATTTTAGAGTCTCTTAATGGTCAGTCTTTCGGCCCGGAGAAAGCCGATGCTGCGGTCAAAGTTATCGCCTTACCACTCCGATATATTACAATGTAAACCGGATAATTAATTACACTACTTAGTTGGATTTCGGATTGTAGGTACTTGCTGGAACTTTATTTTCTGAATGTTGCTTGTTGTGTTTATGCAAATCGACAGTTTCTACTTATGGACTTGGCCTGCAGCTTTTGCAATTCGCTTCCATCTGTACTCTCGCTCGATTGTTGACGATAATTAACTGAACAACAGTTCTCAAAGCATCCAACCACTTCAACGTCCGAACGGGAAAAAACCCCATTCATTCACTATCTGTTGACTACCTTCCAAACTCAAATATTCTATTTCTGGCTTCAAAATTAGCTAAAAAACAAACTAACATCGAAGATTACGGAAACCAATCAATTAATTTCTCACATCGAAGTACTTAGCTTTATGGCTTTGATAAGTTTTTTGGTGTAAATCTCAATGAAAACTGATCAGGCCCATAAAAGTGGGTCCAAAGCAAACGTTTGCCAGCCATAAAATTCTATCCGGCTTTGATGCGAGCAAATAAATGTGTCTAAATTCAGTACCTATTTGTTTATTTAAGCATTTAATCGCATTGGGCATTAGTAAAATGTATGTTCGTTAAGGTGAAGATAAGGATTACTCGACTTATTGTTGGTGATCAGTTCAGATCTAGGCCATTCGAGGTAATGATGTTGGAAAACAATGTACGAAAACCGGCAGAGAAGTGTGCAGGTAAACCATATTATTAGAAATCATCATAGGCGATAAAACGCCGCAATAGAAACAGCGATTTTGGTTATTTGTGTTTTCCCTTTATGGATGGCTTGCGGTTTTTTTCATCGCAAAACTCAAATTTTAATTAGTAGGCGACTCAATGGCATGTTTCTTATGTAAGTGCAGTTTATTGCATATAAACTAAAATGCGGTTTGAGAACGATGGTTGGAAATATACCTCGAAACTATTGCATAACATGCAGTCAATTGGCGCTGATTTTCAAATTATTATATACTCAAAAACACATATTTGGCTTTTTGAAGCAGTCCATACTAGAAGAATTTTATATGATTTCGACTAAATGGGCACCTGGATAGCAGGATTTGTCATCCACAGAGTTCCTTTTTCAGGCAATTTATCGCTGCATTCTAAAAAAATACCTCAAAAACCTGGTGAACGTATTTTAACTAATAGAAACATACTATAAGTTTGATCAAATCTGCCTCAAAAACGCCGGATTTGCCATTGCGAGAATTTCTCTTTGAAGTGAACCCACTTGAACACTTCATGGACGAGCTTCCACCAAAAGAAGTATTATATAATTTCAATTAAATGGCTACCAAAAATGTCGAGTTTGTCATCCACAGAGTTTCATTTTGTGGCGATTTACGACTGGAATTCTAATTACTATTCAAAAACACATCTTGTGGACAAATTTTTTCGAAAGGAAAAATTATATAATTTCGGTTAAACGTCTCCTACGAAATATTTCTTCGTTGTACAGGTTTAGCACACACGAAAATAACTTTTAACTTTTAGGCTTTTAACTAAAAGATATTTTACATAAATTCAATTACATGGCCATCAGGAATGCGGGATTTGTCATCCACAGAGTTTTATTTTGATGCGATTTATGACTGGAATTAAACCGATTTTGTGAACGAATTTTCACGAAAAGAAACATTATATAATGTCGATTAAATTTTCTTTACAAAATCCGGATTTTTTGTTTCCAAAATTACCCTTTGACGTGATGCTGAAATTGAGCCCTATATGGACAAGTTTGCACTACAATTAAATTTTGCATATGATTTCAATTAAACTGCCATCACGAATACGACGACGACGTATAAAATTTCGATTAAATGGCCGTCATCAGGCGCGTCGGGTTTTTCATAGGTATATAATATAGACTCTGTCTTTGCGGCGATTTTGGGCAAAAAATTTTGCAAAGCTTGCTTTAGACTCATGAGTTCAGAATTGATGACCAAATACTAAAAAAACTTTATTAATTTCTACAAGGTATAAAATCGACCATCAAGGCCTGATGGTACAATGACTCAGTTTGCCTGCTAGTGGACGGAAAATTGAAAAAAATGTAGAATGGCCGCCGTTAGCACCGGCTTTATCTTCCGTAGACTTTTTCCCTGTCGATTAATTATGCAGGTTGCATCAAAGATGGACGAATATTGAAAACGTTAAAGCAGATAAGCGCTTCAGTTCATATCAAGAAGCTTGAACTTAAAGAGTTGCGCCAGCGCAAATAATAACTTTTAAGCGAAAACTTGGGATTTTGTAAAACTGATGCAAAAACTCAGTAATTTCCACGGCTCCAATTGTTCGCGGTCAAGGCAAAATATTCTACTCACTGGTGGTGCTAAAAAACCAACTATTCGATACTCTACTTGAGTATTACTCATTACTCGATGAGACTCATTGACCGCCGATGTGATTACTGATTCTGACTCGATCTACTTAATTTAACTGCATCTAATAGAGGTTGAGTTTAATCTTACAATAGATAAAATTTAAAAATTTAAATAAGTATATTCGCTTTTTGAGTAAATCTACAAATGTGTTTTATAAAATTCATCCCACACAACAGTATTATAAAACTAAACTAAAGCGAGGAAATTAAAGTGACGACGGCATTGGATCGGGTAACGAATACCTCAAAAGTAACGACAATGAGAGCTAGTGGTACTCACCCCAGTCATGAGCCTGTCGGCCCCGGATCCTTCTTCATCCTTGAAAACAATGTCCATACTGTAGTTGGGTTCCAGTTCGAGGAACCGGGAATCATTTCGGCCCACGCGACCCTCAGAGGGGCCACTGCTTCGCGGACTGTGCTCGGGCGAGTTTGGCTCGTGCTGTTTGAAGACCAAAGGGGTGAGTTTCCTAGGGTGACCTCGCCTGCCCAATCCGCGACCCGGGCCGCAAGCCAGCGCCCCGAGCACCAGCCCTAGCGAAACTGCCGCCACTACACACCACTTCATTGCCTCACAAAGCCAACTTCATCACTACAACTTCACCATCCTAGTGCATGTTCCGACTCGTACCGCGCTCGTGTTCCTATTCAGCCCCAAACTGAGAACAACAACAAGAACAAAACCATCTAATTGCGAATGTGTCCCCGGTCACTCTTCAACCTCAACTAACTCAAAGTGATCACTTGGTCGATGATTTATACGAACGATTGATCGCTGATTCGTCACGCACCTAATTATCCTGGTCACTTTGGTACTTAGCAACTTGCAGATAAGTACTTGGATGCACTTGTATTGAGGTGAGGCGCAGACTGGGTGCCCCACTCGGCCACCTTGGCCATCTTCGGGGCCTGCGCGCTCATTGGCCGGCGGGCGGGTCTCGCGTGAGGCAGATGGAACCCGGTTCTCGCAAATCAAACGGTCCTCCAAGGGTTCCTTGCCTTGCGAAATGCGCCGAGCTGAAGAAGCCCGAACGTGCTTCGGCAACCGGTCATCGTCGCTTTGACGTCACTCTCTTATGCTTCTTCTTCTACGGGATCGGAAACCTGAATTAGTTCAAGCCACCAAAAATGATGATTCTTAAATAGAAACCCAAAAGATAATGGAAATGGTTGGAAACCAGTCATTTGCCTATTGAATGCGCAATAATTTGCTCAAGTGCTCAATGCAACACGTGCATGAATACCGGTGTTGAACGGTGATCAATTCATTGTAACTAACTAATCAATGGATAATAATAATAATAATAATAATAATAATCAATTGCGTTTTTGTAGGTAGGTCCTTGAGTTCTTGGAATTAGGTATCGTTTGCTTAAAGTTTAGTCATTTGATATCGTTAAAGGCGGGAGCATGAATCTCAAGGCCCATAATTTTCTCAAGACATATAATAAGAGACCGGAGTTATTTTAAATTTAGAAAGAAAAAATTCCCAAATTTTGCACAGGGTGTTTGCTCATAAGTTGAGTCCTTTTAGATCATTTATTTCAAATAATTGCGAAAAGTGGCAAATACTTGAGGTGTTCATTAATTTTCTCTGTCTGAAGTTAAAATAAAAACTTCATGGCATAAATGCCAACAATCGACATAAAGTTATTTTTTAATGCAACACTCTGTATATTTATGGACAAATCGCCAAGATTTTCTTTCATGATTCGAGAAATATTCGAAACGCATTTAAGAAAGTAGAAAATTGATTTTGCCAACCGCAAACCATTACAAGAATGGCGAGAACAACATTTTTTAATGAAAATGAAAATTAAATAAGTATCTCAGCCACCCCACAACGTTCGCCCGGTAGCACTTTTTTACATGAAAATTTTGATACCTGAATTGGACGAGCTGGTCTTATCCCTTGGCCCCCTAACAGCCCCGACTTAACTCCTATTGAATTTTTTCTCTACACTTAGGTATTTAAAGGACATTGTGTATAAAAGTTCAGTTGTTGTTGACAAATGTTGATGATTTACGCCATAGAATAGTGATTGCGGTTAACAATATTAATTTGAATTTAGATATTTTAGATGAAAATTAAATTAATTAGAGACAATTTTTGGAGTTCATATAGAGAATCACTGATTTTAATATTATCGGCTTCATTTATATTTTTTCAATCTATAACACCAATAATTATCGTTATTTTCTCTATGGTTTTTGTTTAACGTATTTCAAGGCTGCTTTAATTTGTTGCTGTTAAATCACTAAATAATCAATAAAATAAACAAATCTAGGCACATGGTGTCTCGTCAGCACATGGTCAAAACAGTACTGTAATCTTTGCATTTTGGCTCCAATGAATACGATCTGACCTAACTTTTGTTTAGAAAAAATGTCTCGCTTCTCCAAAAACATTCTCTTTTATGAAATCTCGGGAGAATAGAACTATGGATTTTAATGAAGCCCGCTGTGAACTTGTTCAAATTGGAAATAAAAAAAAAACTTGTTGGAATTTTTTTTACAAAAACTATGAATTTTACAAAGATGTCAAAAATGTCAAAAAGGATGAGTGCGCAAACTCAAAAAAAAGGCGAGTGTTTATCTTATAATTTTTCACTGAAAAAACATGAGGATTGTCAGTATTTTAAGTGAAACTAAAAAATAATGTTATTTTTGCGTAGAAAGAATTGTTTAATAGAAACTTTGTTTGAACTGGAAAGACTTGAAAAATTGATTTTTTAAACCTTTAAAAATCTTCAGAGCAATAAGGGCGTTGAATTTTTCAAATATTTGTTTGTAAACTTTTGCTTCACGTTGTTTTTTTCAAGATAATTCTACTTCCTTTCGGTAAAAAAACTGAATAAAATTATTTGGTTTTTGTGCCAAATTCGAAGCTGAAATGGATTTTCTTAAGTTTCCTGCAAACCGATGAATAAGGCGAACTTTCTAGCAAAATAAATTTTATAATTTTTGGCTAAAAAAACCTCATTATTGTCAGAAAAGAAGAAGATCATGAGATAATAATGCTTTTTTGCGTTTTCGATTAAAACACTTTCAGTTTTGTGATCGGTTTTGAAGAAAACCATTATGGTTAAAAAAAACGAGAGTAATGTATTTTTGTTTTTGTTCCAAATTTGAACTTGAAAAAAGTTTTTGTACATTTTTTACAAAGCAAATTTTTACAAATTTATCTTGTAATTTTTCCCGTAACAGTCCTTTAGATCGTCAGTATTTTATGTGCAACCCTACAAAATAGAGCGTTTTTGAGTAGAAGGTAAAGCAAAAAAATCAGTCAAAACTAAAAAACTAAATTTGTTAACAAAGTCCACAGTCTTCAGAGGTATGTATGTGGGTGACGAGATTTCGAAACAATCTCTTATAAACTTTCGCTTATTCTGTTCTTTTTTTGATAGAAAATTATTTGATTTTTGTTCCAAATTTAATGCTCGAAAGGGATTTCAAAACTTTTTACAATGCGACGAAGGACTCGAAATTTATTCCATAATTTTTCGCGGAAAATACCTTAAAATTGTCAGCATTTTTAATTGAAACGTTAATTGAAAATTGAGCATTTAGAAGAAAAAGTATCTTGGCCAAAACTGGAAAATTCTGAAATTTGAAGACATTTTAAAATGCGCCGGTGAGTTGGGTTCGCGCACCAAGCCATTTGCGGAGCACTGCGCCAACTCCTAAAAATTCAATGAGTTACCCAGGTCTAGCCCAAGGTGGATGAACTCCGTTGCTCTATCAAAACATGAGTCTTGCATAAGGATCAATTCACCGCAAGTTTCATTAGAATCCATCGTATTAATTATCTCGATATTTAAAAAAAATGAGGGACTTTGACCATCAACAGCAGAGGAGCTTTTGTATTTATCACTTTTCACCATTTTTTCAAATAAATAATATTGGGGAGTATGATAAATGATTCAACTTATGAGGAAACACCCTGTACATTTTTCAATATTAAAATGGGCAAATTGACCTCAACTGCATTAAAGCCATTAAAACTGAAAGTAGTCGCGACATAAAAAAATGACAGAGAAACCGACACACAAAAACAAAAGGCAATAATTTAAGGAGAGATTTGTACCCTAAATTTCAAAAAATTACCGAAGAAAAGCTGTTGAAACCCAGATGTAAACCAAATAAATGCGGGACAGCATTCTGGTAGGATTTCAGAATGAGAGAAATTGCAAAGTCAAAATTTCCATTCATTTAATGCTCACAACTTGTATGAGTCGTAAGAAGTACGTAAAATAAAAGTCCACGTTTAGCTTGCACGATGTATAAATTTGACTAATTACCGTAGACGCTGAACTAAAAGTTCATTATAGTTATATTTTGCCTCTAAACTAAAGTAATTGAAAATATTTTCTATCTTTTCAGTTCAAATAAGGGGGAAAACATGTTTTCTTAATGAATACAACATGTATACAACAACAACTGTACATACAACAAACAAATTTCTAGTTTTTCTAAATTTTTTTCTGTTTGCAATGTGCTTGCCAAAAGTGTTAAAATGTATTCTATTTACTGAAATAGTTGGTCACTTTTCAGTATCACAAACCATGGAAGATTATTCAACTGATTTTGATGCCAAAATTCACTTAACTCAAGTTTAAATAGGAAAACTAACTTTTCAATTTTGCTGCAATGCCACATTTGCAGAGAACTTAGGCTCAAATTTCAAGATTACTGGATTTTCAAGTTATTATTGCCTTCTCAAAATATGTCTCTACGTATGCAAGTACTTTGTGCAATTTCCTTGCTTCTTCTATACACGCTGTCCCATAAACAATGCAAAAAATGTTAACTTCGGATTTCTGGGGTGAAAAAAAAATAGAATTTGACACAATTAACCTGAGAAAAAACGTGAATGGAAATAGAAATACAGGGGGTCAAAGTTATTTTTTAATGTTATTTTTCAAATAACTCACAAACAACTTGGAGTTAGATACTCAGGAGCTTTTGAGAGTTATGGACAAGAGTTACAACACACTCCCTGTAAATGCACTCTAAACTCAACTTAGACAATGGTAAGATCCAAACAAATCAGTTTTTCACTGTTTTATAACCCAGTTCCGCCTTTTTGCGTTTAAAATCGGGGACTTGATAAATGATAATCTCGAAGCGCATTGCCAAAAGAGCTCTGTTGGGATATTTTAAGGATTTTGTGCACTGCAGTGCACTAGATCGATTTACTTTCAGCCAGCTCACTTACAGATGATGAATACCTCACATTTGCCTCTCAGATGCACTGAATCTATCAATCAATCACTTTTCACGCAACGAATGGCGCGATTCAGAATTATTATTTCGCCGGCACTTTAATGAACGTGATACCGGGTTGAAGTGCGCCTTTATACTGAATTTACTTAAGACAGATAGATGCGTTGTAATGGAGTTTATCCCATGATAAAAAAATGATAAATGTCATACAAACATATCAATCCATCCTCAAGCTAATCATCATTGAAGTCAACACCTGGAACATTTGGATGTCTGGCTTCAGTGTTTACACGATCGTTATTCATCTAGGGTGGCTTGTTCTTCTTTGAGTGTGTTTAGGTAATTTCTAATTTTCCAACTATTACTCGATGCATCCTGTATCGGTAAAACAGATGCTGCATGTGCAGTTTCGGAATTTTGCATTATTCAGAAATTACATTCTGTTCAATGATGCGTTCCTAGAACAGCCAACTGTTACTATTCAAAATCCCAAAAGTGACCGCAAGTTTCAATTGTTTAGATATGGAAATTTGACTTGACGATGATAGATTTTTTTGTTATTCATAGCTTGGCATCATTTACACAGTGCTCGTAAATCACCGCAATCTAGCAAATAGTTGTGCAATATTTTTTATTGACTCACTTGTTTCAAAAGTAGCGAAAGTTCCTCGATAGAATTCCTCGGGAAACCAGTAGATTTGCTTAGTAATAGTCAATTGACAGAAGTTAGTACTTAGTTCATTGTAAAATAGGCAATTTCCGATAATTCTTCCGGGTTCAATATGGAAATTAGTTAAGGAACGCGCTGAAGTAACAAAATTTACTTAATCCTTTCATGGAAAATAATCAACAGAAAAATCCGCTCAAATCCGTCCGATTTAGTTTTTGAAGCTGAAGCTCGAAGACCAAGTAACCCGCACCTTCAATCTCACCTTGATGGTTACCCGATCTATGCGGTCAACTCTTCACGATTAAAATCTGTAAACAGAGTCCAGTCGGTCCGATTTCTCTATGGTCCCTCTAGTAAATTACCTGTCAGCTAGTGGTGATTGATGGTCTTCTTGTCACTGATGCCTTTCGGATGCACCACTCGCGTTCTATCGGAAAATGCTTTAAAATTTGAAAAAAATTTGAAGACTTTAGGTGAAGTTTAAAGGCGCGACACAGAGAAAAATTCAAAAATTGTTCATTAATTCGTGGGTTACATTTTTTTGGAAGTAGTGGTCACTGTAGGTTTTGAGCTCTGTTTGATAAGAAATTGAAGGCTCTGATTGAATCTATGAAATTCTTTGGGAAAATGGTTGAAAAAATACACACTCTGGTTTTTAAATTCGTAACATCCAAACTTGACCAAGCATCTTCTTGAAATTTTCTCAATCTCCAGACAATAATTGAGGCTTCAAACTAGACCTGGGTAACACTGTGTTGAGCTGCACTTTTGAGTTGAGGCCGCTCTGCGAGTTGGGGAGATTTAACTTATCGCGTCTCACTGCCCCGCACCTCGAATTGCGGTTGTAGCGGAATAATAGTTATTTACGTAACTAGTAGGATATGGAGATTATTAAAGAACAAGTGAAGATTTGCACGACTGTAGGCCGAGTCGCTTAATCGCATAAGTGCGTTAATAATATAATATCCTACGTGTTACGTACAATATTTTATCTACAACTATAGTGATTATTATTTTAATGATTATTTGAGTAAAAATAACTAGTTATAAAATTGAATACAGAACACAGGTAATGAAAATTTGTCATTATCATCAGAATTATTGTCAAAGTTTTGTCTTAAAATTGCCCCTTTTTAATGAGTTCAAGCAATGATCTGCCATCTGATATTGAGAACGAAGCTTTGCCAGGGAAACCACGGAAGAAATATCAAGAAGATTTTGATCGGTACCAGAAATGGTGCAATGAACAAAAGATACTCAACTCAACAAGCGAGAAAGGATTATCAATATATTTTAACAAAGTAAGCCAAATAGATAAATCGGCATCCGTTCGGTTCTCGATGTTCTCTGTGTGTGTATCTTTCGTTCACGCCACCATTTCTGGTACCGATCAAAATCTTCTTAGTATTTATCTAAGTATTTCTTCAGTGATTTATCTGGCGCAAGATCCAAACAACATTAAATGCTTCGTTCTCAATATCAGATGGCAGGTCATCGCTCACTCACAAACTCACAATAAAATGTGTAATTTTAAAACAGAACTTTGACAATGATCGACAGTTTTATTATCGCACTAGTGCGGTAATAAACATCATTATGACATTTAAAAGAGTGCCGAATCATAGTCATTATATAACAGTTGTAGATAAATAAAATAATTAATAAAAATAGCGTTGAAATTTTGTAGGTTTCTATCATCGCTCGGAAATTGAACAACAATTTTATTGTGGTTTCTTCGCGGTTTTTTCGTTTTGTTAATATTTTCAGAAAAAGAAAATTAATTCGCTTATTACTTTTAGTTTTGGCGTTGTGCATTAATCACTGCAGCTGTGTGAAATTCAGAAAAATATAAATAGTACTAAATTTAAAATTAAATTAGTCAAAGATCGGCATTTGGAGCGTTTTTCGTTTAGTTGTTGTCTTTCGTTAAGTTGGAACGTGAAATTTGCTATTGGAAAATATTGCTAGTCCAGTTTGCGACCGAAAGTGGACGAAATCGGTCGATAATCATTTGTGTCGTGTAAATCGTGTTTCCAGATGGGAAATATAGAATCATAGGTAGTTTGTGGTTAATGGGTAGAAAATGGAGGATGGAGCGCCAGCTTGCAGAAAGCTTTTCGCTTGAACTGAGTTTAGTTTTGCGACAAGCAACTGAAGTTGTATGGATTCTTTATATTTCTGCTGTGCTAAACACATTTTCTTTCGCGGTGGCACTAAGCAGCTTTCGGTAAGTTTAGCATCATTTTGCCGCTGGTTGCCGTGTACATTTCGAACTTTTAGTCCCCTAATCATCAACTCAATCGTAGGGTGGATTTGGTATCGATTGAGCTATTGGTTCTTTCGTAGTTCATTTTTAAACCTTGGGAATATTTTGGGCTGGACTGTATTTTTATATTAAGCTCATCTGAAGCTTTTCACTAAAGAACCGCTTCAGATATGGAAATTTGGGATCCAGTAGGTATTTAATACAAGAAGCATAAGCTTACTGATTGGGATTTCATTCCCATTAAACTATTGATTCCTTCTCAAGCAATTCGAAAACTTTGGGAATATCTTACGCTCATCTGAAGATTGTCTCCAATGAACCGTTTCGTTCGTGAAATATGGGTTCCAGTTTTATGTTTTTGTGTAAAAAAAGCCAAAAGTTAATTTTTTCCTGGTTTTTTTAATGCGAAATCGACTGAAACATGTCGCCACCTTTTTTGTCGAAGCTGAAGAACCATTTGAGCCACAGAGTTCGTTTTCATATCATTGGATAGAGAATTGGCTCCACTGGCTTTAGTTTTGTAATTGGAATTTTTCATTGAAGAGTTTGCAGCTGCGTAAAAGAGTTCATTTTCAAATCAGCAATTCCGAAGAGCGCAAAATTCAGGATTTTATGCGATTTTATTGCGATTTAGAGCGCATTCTTTTTCACTGAACGTACAACTCTGAACTTGTACAGTATTTTTCGTTTCAGAGATTTATTTTATTCTTATTAAATCCTAAGCAAAATTTTCTTAACTATGAGTGAAGTTCGACATTTTGATGGCATTTAGAGCGCACTCTTCTTTACTGAACACACAACTCTGAACTTGCAGAGTATTTTTGGTTTCTGTTTTTTTCGTTATAACTCATCGGGTCTCACTGTGCCAAACTTTTAATTATTTTCATTACGTTTAGCATGTAACCCAAAGCTTTAGGACATTTTTTAGGAGCAACATTTTATCAAATGGGTGACTGCAACGCAACTGCACCGGTGAGTTACTGTGCTGATGCATTGGGATGGCGCAATAAGCCATTTCGGAAACACTGTGTCAACTGCTTAAAATTAACTGAGTTACCCATGCCTACTTCAAACGCCGAAATGTTTATTAAAATCCGACCAAATTTTTTATTTTTTTATTTTTGCAATCTATAGGTGAGAGTTGAGGCGTTGAGCGATTAAATATCTATTAAAATTCGATTAAATTTAAATTATAGCAAATTTTATAAATGCTAAAAGTATACACTTTCTATTACAAATCCGTAACTTCCAAACAAGACCAAACAATAGCGTGAATTTTTTTCAACGAATAGGCGAGAATTGAGGCTCCGAGGCCTGAAATATTCATCAAAATCCAATCAAATTTTTATTTTTCCACGAACTTTGTAAATTTTGCTCTAAAAATGAATGGCTTTAAAATACACAATAGCACAAGTAGTTATTTCATTTTTTTACAACTTATAGGAGACCCTATAGGCGTCAAACCCTGAAATGTTTAGTAAAATATAAGTGAATTTATTGTTAGTGAATACATATTATTGCATTTTTTGCCACTTTAATAAATGCTGATCTAAAAATGAATGTGTCCACCAAAATACGCGCTGCCCTTCATAAATTCGTCACTTTCAAACTTGAATAAGGACAGACTTGAAATTTTAGCAATCTATAGGAGAGAATTGATTGATGATTCGAGAAATGAAATATTTATTAAAATCCGATCAAATATATATTTTTGCAAACTGTGCAAAAACTAGGTATGAGAATTAGGGTCTAAAAAAATATGGACTATTTCTATACATGCGTAACTTCCAAATTAGACCAAACAGCAACATAAAATGTTCGTAATTTCTACGAGATAAATGAGTCTTCAAAACCTTAAACATTTGAAATTTCTATTGGATTCACTGGAACTGCGCTCTTTACTTTAAGTTTTTAACTTCCAAACTGGAGCAAGTAGAAGCATGCATTTTGCAGTCTTTAGAAAATCCTAGGGTCAGTCAAAATTCTAATAATGTGTTAACTTTTAGCTTCAGCTTCTCGACTACCGGATTCTAATTCAAACATTTGTTCCTCACTCTCCGTTATAAAAAGTGAAGGTATATTGAGTAAATGAGTCTTCGTTTCGCTTAACCTCTTTGCGTTTTATATCGTGCATTTCTGGTGTCACAGAACTCTATTTCTCGCCTTGAGGGATATTTTCATTTACTTTCTCATATATTTGCACAATCTGTTCTTTCTCAAGTCCTTTGGTTATAATGCGATGTTGATT